TGTAATTGGTAAGGACATGAGGCATTATCATTTATAATGTACATTTTTTTTTTGTCCTGTAAGGCAGCACGTTGTACCATGAGTAGCGACAGGACATTTCCAACAAAGATCGGGTAGGTACTTTGAACAGAGAATTCAGTTTGTTGTCCTCCTAATTAACCGGTTTTAATTTAAATTAAATCAATTTACAAATGCACGATATACATCCAGTACAGTGTTCATAAATCTATTAAGCTAACCTGAGCCTGTCTTCAATTTTAAAAACTAAATACGTATACGTTATTTTCATAAGATCCACAAACAAAGATGAGATGTGTAATTTCTACATTTTGTACTCCACGGACAACCCCGCCAACTTGGAGGTTCAGTACTGTTTCAGGGACGCTCAGACCTTCCGCTGGGGGGACTATCTAACTTCAGTACCAGTCAATGCCAGTAGTACTGTCGGCTTACCAGAATTTACTCGTGAAGACCCGTTTGTTTGAAGTGAATAAAAATTCCACCATTGAATATTTTTTTTATGTTTTTGTCGGAGATAAACGATTTCGATTTTAACCATGACTTGTTGCCTGAAGGAACAAAGTATTCTTCTTTGAATGATCTATATATGAAAAGCGATTATAGAAATGTTTTTAATATCCGGAAAATATCCGTTGAAAAGGGGGTGGATGGGTGTGTAGGAAAATTGTGGTGTTTTATGTTATTTTTAGCAAAAGTTCTTTTTTACACGATTGGATTCTAATGGTTATCTCTTTGGGCTTAATTTGTATTTCCATTTTTTTTGTACGCTTATATGTCTCGAAGAAAGAAGTGTACTGGGAAGAAAATGCAAACAAAATTGCTCATTCGGGATACACTTTAAAAGGTATTCATGCGTTTTATTACAGAACCAAAGGGATTTAACACTTTGTTCACTTTACTTTAAACACCAACATAAGAAACCATTCCTTTATTGTTTTCACTATACACTTTATTATAAGTTATTAATTAAGGATACTGTAAAACTTTTGAAGGTTAACTCATTGAAGGAGTAAAAACCACTGTAACACTTCAAAAGCATTTTACTTTTGAAGAGATTTATCTTTGTAAACACATCATTAGACTTTTTTTGTCGATAATATGTACAATTTCCATCAATCAATTAGCAATTGTTTGTGTGTTTTGTACCGTCTACCCGGTACCTAATCAATATACAGGACTCTCGGCGGAATTGACCAGTCAACAGGGGATGTTTTCTCCTCCTAGGGACCTGGTCCCACCTCTAAACTATACAAAGGAGTCCGTTTATATGCCCTCTACATAGATTAAGATTGTTAATTTTTTTTTATTGAATTGTCTTTTCTTCACCTTTCTCACCATATACAATAAACAGAAATTCGTAAAAAAAAAAAATCCATAAAATAAATTTAATGAGCATTTAATAGAGATCGATATTCAAAATGTCAGTTAGAAATATGAGTATGTAGCGGATCTTTGAAAAAAGGAGCGGATCTACATAAACCGCTGAAACGTTGTCAGCAGATAGTTCATCATCACCATAATGTAAAACATCAAATATGTTACTTCATTCCAAATCGGAGTAAAAGTTCCAAAAATGTCAAAATTTTCTTCTTGAATGTAAGTTTCTTCGGTACAAAAACCTGAAAAAAAAACGTTAGGAAGATGCAGAAGATGCGGTTGGTTTGTACAGTTATGTTTCTTGAAAACATTATAAACATCATCAAAGTCTTTGAAAAAAAAGTTTTGCATTTTATATTTTTACCTTTGAAAGATCAACGGTTGGTGATCGCCCAGAAGTGCTGATAAAGGCATGTCCAAGTGGCGAATGATGTTCTAGTTCGTTTTCAGGTGTTATCTGCAAACATATATTTCAAAAATAAGTCCACATGTACGCGTCCTCCCATGGTTCTTTTTTATTTAATTCATTCAAAGTGTTCGATATTTTCTCGTTAAAATTAATGTTTACCTTGGTCTCCGGGAGTGTCATGTTGTCGATGTTGAATAAGAAAAGCTTTCTTGGAATGAATGAATCCAGTTCATCCTCCCGACATTTTTTAGGAGAGGTTTTCTAAAATGAAATATAAATAGACATCGATTTAATTATTTCGTTCAATTAAATAAGAATAGTTTGTGTGATTTCGTTCGGGGGGAGGGGGGTTTATCAAAATTAAATTGAATCATTTTTCTAATTCCTAGTGATCTTAATTGACATTAAGACTGATACGGGATCTTTCTTATATGAAGTAATAAAATTAACCTCAGTGTTCGACAAAAGTACGACGTTTAAGTGTAAATTTATTATACTATCATATATGTTTATATTTCCATTTCTAATTTTTCTCTCTGTGATAACTCTTTGAAAGTTAGCGGAGTTGATTTCTTGATAAATCTACCGGAATGTAAATTAGGCAGGTCGATAGGTCAGGAGATAAGGAGGCCTTATTTGCATGCAAATCTCGTGCGCATCTGTCTCCGTTTCTGACGCTAAAGGCCGTGTCACACTGTCACGATTTTTGCTACGATTCCACACGACTTACAAAAAACCATAAATCGCCAACAATCGCCACGCTAGCCTAGCATTTTTTTTGACAGAGGGTGATTTTTTCCAGTGTGTTACGATACGACTACGATGTCCGCTCAACAATGTACGAGGCTTATACGACAACAGAACGAGTTTTGGCGAGTAATGTACGAACAAAGACGATAAAATAACGAACACAATACGATCCTTACACGAATTTGTACGATAAGACACGACTTTAAACGATGCTATTACGAATACCTACAAGTTTGTACGATGCCTACACGTTATTCCCACGAACAGTGACGAGTTCTTACGAATATACTTGGTTTGAGTAGATATATAGAGAGAGGGTTGCTTGAAATTTCGATGTTGTATAATTATGGCTGTAGCTACCGTGCGGAGGCTTCAACTGCTGCAATATTTGGGGGAACTGGAACAGAATATTGCAGAAAATGACAAGGCAATTGCTAATTTATTACACAACGGGTGTCCACAGAGGCAAAGAAGAAGATACGGGATCTAAACATGGATCACCAGACGTACTCATTATGGATACCGGTATTTTGATCGCTTGATGAAAGAACTTGAAACGGAGATTGTATTGTCATTCAAAAACGTCCCCAGAGTAGAGCCAGATATGTTTAGAGAGCTTGTAGACAGATTACAAAAGACAAGACATGTGGTTCAGAAAAGCTTTGGAACCTGGATTAAAGTTGGCCATTACACTTCGTTATTTAGCAACAGGAGAGTCATACACAAGTCTAATGTACGGATTTCGAGTTCCACATAATACATTTCCTTGCTGGTTCGTGAAGTTTGTGAAAGTATAATAGTGGAATATGCTGATGAAGTCATTGCCTGTCCAACAACTACAGATGAGTGGCAACAGTTAGCTGAGCAGTTCAGAGTTAGATGGAACCTAGACCATGTCCTTGGTGCTTTAGATGGGAAGCATATTGCTATAAAATGCCCCCCAAAACGAAGGTTCATTTTATAACAACTACAAAGGGTTCCACTCCCTCATTCTTATGGGCCTTGTTGATGCTGATTTTAAATTCATTTGGATTGACGTAGGTGCAAATTGTTCTGCATCAGATGCTATTGTGTTTAACAACTCAGAATTAAAAGATGGCATCGAAAATCAAAATATTGGATTTCTAGAAGCTGCCCCTAAACCAATGATAACAGAAACATCCCGTATTTCATCGTGAGTGATGACCCCTTCCCTCTCAGGACATGGCGTATAAAACCTTTCGCAAGGACTTTGACCAATGAGGAGCGTATCTTCAACTAAAGATTCAGCAGAGAAATGCGTGTTGTAGAAAATGCATTTGGAATACTCGCCAAAAGGCCTAGGGGCCATAAAACTTAGACGTTCGAGTTCACTTTTGATCTCAGTCTCACTTTACCACAGGAATATAAAGTGAAAAAGTGAGACTGAGATGAAAAGTGAGCTCATCTAACTTTTATGGTCCCCAGGCCAGATGGCAATGCCTCTTAGCTCTAATGCGCCAAGAACCAGAAACTATTTCATCTAATGTTGCTGTCTTCATGATTTGATGCGAATGATATTTCCAAATCTCCAAAACGCGTACAATCGTACTATTTCGCAGTTCACTCGCACGGTACTTGTATTGCACTCGCCGTCAATCGCCTGTTTTCGTATCATATTCGCATGAAATCGTACGGCATTCCTTTTGAGTTGAGAAACACTCGGAAAAACTCGTGGGACACTCGCGATAAATCGTAGGAAAGTCGCAGAGTCGGAAGTTCTACGAATTTTTGCGAGTGTCCTACGAAAGTCAAAGATTTACAACGATTATGTGTACGAGTGTACTTCGATTGCTGTACGATCGCATACGGATAATTAAAAATCGTACTGTGACCACGATTGTTTTGAACATGCTCAAAACAATCGCCGCGTTTGGCGATTGGCTGCGATGAAACACGAGTTAAGAAGATATATTACGACTATCTCTACGATGAACGCCGAATTACCGCGATTTTTTAACTCGTACTCTGTCGTAGCCAAAAATCGTGACAGTGTGACACGGGCTTAAGGAGGCCAAATATGCACGTAAATCTCGTGCGGGCTGCCTTTGTGTTTAACGTCTGTGGGCAAGGACTATTGTAAGTGGCATGGGAGTCCTCGTGTTATTTATATTTATGTGTACATTTTTAAAGTCTAAATCTACAATTTTATTTCACAATGAAATGGAAATATAAGGAATCACTGTCTAGTTAGTATAGTATGCTAGGGACATCAATGATAGTGGGAAACATGGGATAATTTATGCATAACGGGCTTCGCCGTTTATGCAAATTATCTCATGTTTCCCACTATCATTGATGCCCTGGCATACTATACTAACTAGACAGTGATTCCTTAAATACCGGTAATTCATAAACATATATAATAGTATATAAATATTATTTATAAATAATTAAATACACAACTGTCATGCATTTAATCTACCTTTATCTTGTTGTAGAGAGAGTCAATGTCTCTGTGTGTTACAGTGGTTGTAATGGATTCCTGAAATAAGTACAATATATTTAAAATTGTAATCAAAATATTAGAAGAGTAGACAGAAACAATTAAGAATGTACACGATGTTTTATTCATTTTATAACATAGTAAATTGTGTTCTTGGTAATATTTTTTTTAGAATCCTTTAATTGAATTTACTAAATTTTTTCTAATATAGTTGATAGAAGTGAAAAGCTCTATAACATAAACAATTACAAATAAAATTGAAAAAATAATAATTCACTTACAAAGACGTCGCCTGCCATGGCTTTTATTTCTTCCATCTTGATTAAGGATTGCACAGTCCTCTCTAGATATTTCGTTTCTTTCTATAACAGTAAGAATAATATGTAAAGAACAGAAATTGTTCAATGAACTCTACATTTGTTTATATTGTATTTTATATTTCAAGAATGCTTTGAATAAATTAACTTGAAAAGCATATTAATATCCAAAAATTCTTTTTACAATTAACAATTTATTCTTCTAAATACATGCGCTCCATATATTACTGAAAGTTCAACAATTCTCAATGTTACTCACACATTGTTTTTTTCCTTCTGTCGTCAAGTAAAAATAGAAAGGTTCACTCGCCATTCCTGATACCGATGCTGCATCCCTTAAAATCGAAATAAATATATAAATGACAGATCTACAGTTCAAAATCTATAAACTTCGAAATGTCAAAACGCAGGTTTAAATCACATCATTTTGTCTTATTCCTAAATACTGGAGTAACAAATATTGTAAAAAATAAAAATTTACATCTGATCATATAAAAAGTATGCACACCGTTCCTTCACAACGCCGTGTTTTGATTATGGAGCTTCTATTATAACGTCACATGGAATAATACACTATTAAAAGCATTGTGACGTCATAATAAATTTCAATGGAATTTTTCCTTGTACATATTTTATTCAATTCGTTCTTTCCTTATTTATAGTCATCTTTTGGAATGCCAAAGCATAAAGGATTACATTATTGATTCTATCCCCTCATATGATAACATTGGCTTTTCTATTGTATGTAAATTGTAGCCCTTCGTCAGTATGCGGTTGTGTGAAAAAGTTCTCAAATGGGTCATGAAACAATATTTAGCAATCTATGAACATCCCTTAATCATGAAACAATACACACCTGCATATGGTGTTTCTGTCTCCCAGCTGAATAAATAAGAAACGGCGTGTTCTTCGTACGAAGAATTTTCGTTACACTGGTATACCACTGAAATAGTTAATGCTACAGGGGTAGCAAGTGCAACAATCTCATTTAAAGTAACATTTGAAAATTCTGTTGTTCAAAAGATACAATGACCCTGTTAGCAATTGCAACTATTCATCAGGTCGAATAATGACTTTTACTATAAATATAATAATAAATTTTTTAGATGATTATATTTCACACTCAATTGTCTGCATAAAATTCCCATTACTCGATCAAGACAAATGTCTCAAGGAGTGTGGGGCCGATCAACAGGAGATTCTTTTTCCTCCATGGGATCTAAACCCATTCCAAAATATTTTTGAGACTTTTCGGAAATGAACATTTTAAAAAGGTTTTGCATAAATGTGACAAATCGTCTTATTTTGTTTATTGATCCTTGATAGAATTCCAATTTTAAAATGAATGATTTTTTGCAAATTCGAAAAAGAAGAAGAAGAAGAATAAGAAGAGGAATACTGCCAAAAATGTAAGAGAAGTTCAAGTACCCAATGTTTTGCAGAAAAACTCTTTTTACCCCTAGTTAACCCCAAGGGTAAAAATTCAAAATTTCTAAATCTTTTTTTTTTTTTGCAAATGTTCAAGGCACCATTGATAATACCGGGTATTCCAATAGACAAGTTGGCTCCTGCTTAAAATGTAAGCGTAGTTTGAAGAAGAAGAAGAAAATGTGACAGTTGTACAGATTAGATTAACAAAGATATGCTTCAAATTTCTTTGGAAAAGTATGGGTATTTTAAGAATGAAATGGTTCAAAAACTAAGCAATAATCTCGAGTTTCATTCGCCGAACAGGAAGAATATGACTCAAGTAGAGTTGTGGCCCATAGCCTAGCCTTTTGCTTTTACAAAATTTTAATATGGCACGTTTTGCTGTTTTTCCCTCTTTGTACGAATGGGAACGTGACCTTCAGCCAATTGTTGCATTTCTGTAAAAACTTTAAAAACTCTCTGCTAATTATGTTCCCCAAACGAAGTTGGGGAACATATTGTTTTTACTCTGTTTCTTATTATTATGATTATTATTAAGGTCTTCCGTCTCCAACGGAAGACCTTATAGTGATTCTACTGTTTCTTATTATTATTATTATTATTTTTCATTTTTATTTTTTTTACCTTTTCAAATCGCGTTTTCTCGAAAACTACTCAATGAATTTCAGCCAAATTTTCAGGAGTTATGTGTTCTGCCATGCCATTTTGAAATATTAAAAGAATTTGGAAAAATTCACTTCCGGTCAGGAATTATTGCAAATTTTCATTTTTTCCACTAAAAATCTATTCCGTGAATGTTCTCAGAAACTATAAAAGGTAGGATTCTCAAACTTTCGAATATGATAGAGGTTGGTTCGTAGATGTGTGATAAGAACATTTCGTGTGTCGTCGCCACTTCCGGTCGTCACAGGAAGTGATTGAAAAAGGGCAATTTTTTGAACTTTTTTGTTTTTTGATATTTTTCATTCATATTAATAACATTAATAGAGACTTATTTGAGAATGATAAATATATAATTTGATTTAGAATCGAAAATACCAACCTCGAGATATTCGCATTTAAAAATTTGAAGCGGTGGTCCCAAATGGCGTAATGGTTAGCGCATTGGATTTTCACGCTGGCGACCCGGGTTCCATCCCCCATATGTCCGAAATTTTTTTATCACTTTTTCATATCGATTTTACGTTTTTCTTTCAGAATCGGACGGAAGACCTCTCGTTGCTCGCAACGAGTTTCTTTTCTAGTTATTATTATTTTTCTTCTCGGGAAAATTTTGTCCGCGAATGATCTTGTAAACTACACATCCGATTTAGGTGAAATGTTTTTAGGGTCAGTAGACATGTTATGTAGATTTGCGGAATCAAGGTCATTTTGCGCGCACGTGCTTGCAAGAGCGCGCACGTGCAAAACTTGAAATGATCAATATATAATGGATAAAACCGTAACTTTTCTATTTTTTAACAAAATGTTTTGAAACTCATAATGTAAGGATATATTAGTAGTATGCACAAGATGACATGGTCAAAATAGCAAGATTGCACGCGCTTGCACGTGCGCTTTGCTCTGATTGGCTGAAACTAAAGTCTCTATATCTTTCTTGTTTTTTGATAAAATCATTTGAAATTTTGAACATAGTTATACATTAGGGAGATCTACAGCCTGTAATATAAGAATTATCATGAAAGCATGTGCATGCACGTGTGCTTGCAAGAGCTCGCACGTGCAACATGAGAAATGTCCAACTTAATTGATACAGACGTAACTATTTAAATTATTGATGAAATGCTTTGAAACTCATATTATAAGTAAATATTAGAAGCATAGACAAGATGACATGGTCAAAAAAGCAAGATCTCACGTGCATGCACGTGCGCTTTGCTCTGATTGGCTGAAACTAAAGTCTAAATATCTTTCTTGTTTTTTGACGAAATCCTTTGAAATTTTAAACATAGGCATGTATTAGGATATCCTACAATAAAATATATAGCAATTATCATGAGAAAGCGTGCATGCACATGCGCTGCAATCTGATTGGCTTATGCTTTAAATAGCTATAACTCCCTTGGATTTCAACCAAACAGGATGGAATTTGGAACATAGATAGATATAATGGACTTCTACAAGATGGTATGCTCTTCATGCACATGCATACACATGCGTGTACGTGCACTGAAATCTGATTGGCTGAAACTTGAAACAGCTATAACTCCCTTGGTTTTCAACCAAACGGGGTGGGATTTAGAACATAGATAGATGTAATGGACTTCTACAAGAAGGTATGGTCATCATGCTCATGTATGCACGTGCTTCCACGTTATATGAGTAAAATCAAAAATACAGTTTAATGAGAGTATTTTATAAATACTTTTGGATTAATTACTTTAATATTTAGTATATTAAAATATTAAGATAGACAAGATGATATGGTCATTACGCACATGCAATCACATGCGCACGCGTGGAATTTTAAAATTTGAACTTGGTACTTTCTCCTGGGTAATGTTGTTAAAGCCTCAAATGCATAGAGTTTGTCTTATATCATGAAGCTTCCAGGGAATGTGGCACCAAAAGGAAGTTGGGGAGCGTTTGGGGAACATCTGTAACGGTCCCCGTTACAATTAGCACTAGTTTTTATATAGTGTGTATTTGAACGTATAACAAAGCCCAATTTCATTTTCTTAATAAATCATATCTGTTCAATTCTTGCTAGAGGCAAGGAAATAATATAAAACAAGTGAAATGTGAGACCAAGATAATATTTCAAGGTAATAAGTTTTGACACAGAATCTCACATCAATTTTTATCCCAAAGGTTTTAGAACAATGAAGGGTTTGGCAGTTTTAAATTTAAGGTAATTCACCCCTCCTATGATGCCATAGTTTTGTTTGTTTGTTTTTTTTTTTTTGCAAAAACTGTCATTAATTGAAATTCATACCAAATAGAACAGTATCATTTGAAAGAATGCTTTCCAATAGGTGAAATGATAAAAATTGTTAATTAAAAGAATTTAAAAAATACATTTAAAAATATTTAATCAAATATTTTAATCTTTAAAAATGTTGACAAGGGCAGTAATTCTTTCTCAGCTTTCTTCATTCAGGCATTTTCTTTATTGTACTTCTAATGTAAAATAGTTTCTCTGATATTCACAATTCAAACGTATCTTATAAATAGCAAGTATTTCGGAACTTTCAGCATCAGAATTTTACATTTGAACCAGTTTGTTATAATACTTTTTACAAAACGTGTACAAATTTTTCATGTTGACATATACTTTTGTTTATTTTATATGTCTCTCATTTTTTAATAATATGGCGACCTATACATTTTTTGCTGAAATTGGTAAATTTAAACTATATTACATGAAAATAGATCCAGTTTTTGTACTTTGAACCATTTAATTTGTGAGGGTGGAAAGACCTTAAGTGGGTCCACTCAGAGATTCCAAATAAAACAAGATGTGTTTTTGAAACACTGATGCCCACGTATAGCAGCTTATGGCGATGGTTGAATTCTCTCCAATGCAAGTCAAATTCCTGACGTCAAGGTCAAAAGATCAAAAGTACTGGTACCCAAAGGAAGGTCTTGTTACACGAAATACACCTTTGAAATATGAAAGCTCTAGTTCTAACTGTTCAAAAGTTATGACCAAGGTTAAAGTTTTTTTCTAGGTCAAGGTCAAAAGGTTAAAAAAATATTTTTACCAGCTAAAAGGTCTTTTCACATTAGATACACATATGAAGAATGAAAATCCTAATTCCAACTGTTTAAAAGTTATGCCACTCAACTCAATAGTTATGGGCTTGGTTAAAGTTGAAAACAGACAGAGAGACAAACCGACAGACAGACAGACAGGACAAAAACAATATACTCCTCGGATCTTTCGATCCAGGGGCATCAAAAA